CGTGCGTGCGTGCGTGCGTGCGTGCGTGCGTGCGTGTGTGTGTGTGTGTGTGCGTGCGTGCGTGCGTGAGTACGTGCGTGCGTGTGCCTGATACATCCCTCTGTACGAGTATAAAAGAAAACACGTTAAAACTTTTTAAACTAAAATAATACTTCAAAAATCAAATCATTTCTCAAAAACCCGGAAAAAAACACAATTAAAAGATTTCGAGAAAGCGTGCGCAAACAAAAGTTGCACGTAAAAAAATCGCGAACAAAGAACCTGTCCGTTATTGACTGCAGGCGATAACCACACATACGCCGCTATCAGTCGCAGAACTGGCTAACACACCTGAGTTACACCTGCCAGGCTGCCTGACCTGATCATGACGATTATCAGGTACATGTACGCAGGCAGAGATGACGCAGCCGCAGCCAGCGTGGAAGCAAACACGCGTCCGTACCTCCGTCCGTCTGTGTGACACGCACGCGTCCCTCCGTACGTCCGTCTGTGTGACACGCACACGTCCGTACCTCCGTCCGTCTGTGTGACACGCACGCGTCCGTCTGTTACGGAGATATCTCTTATTCCACGTGTCCGGGTTCGCTCGAGTTTTCTGTTGGCAGATATCCCGCGAAGAAGATTGTTACTTAGTATTGCTAGCGAGGGGATTTTCTAGAAGTATTGCGTCAGCTTCTGCTCGTGTGTTTAAACGCAAAAGAACGAACGAACATGCGATCGGTGCATGGTGCGTGCTTGGTAGTGCACGTGGGTACTCAGTACAAGTGCTATCTGTTCATGAGTTTGTTTTCACACTAAGGAAGCGTTTGATGGGTCGTGGGGGTCCTCCGCCACTGGGACTTTTAGATTCAGTCTGGGGGAGGGAATGGTCTAGTCTGGGGGAGGGGTTTTGTGTACACAAGAATCTCTCGTGTTCTTAGAAGCAGTTCATCCTACCACAATATACACGAGCTGTTTTGCGCTGCGATGATCGTTTGAGTTTTCCGTTTGATAAGAGGTGTCACGCCAGTGTAGACGTAGATACGTGTACTTAGATACGATCAAGAGTACATAGTAGGATCCTATTAATTATGTACTCTTGATATGCTAGATAGCCGGGCTACACCTAGTTTTGTACACGTCTGACTCGGGCGCGGTGGGGTGTGCTGTTTATTTGTCTTGTGATCATCACGAATAGCGTGTAGAGAGAACCGTACAGGACAACAGATGGCTAGAAGGGCATGAGTTGGGCAACAAGCCCACGCGGTGTATATATATAATGTTTACACAGCAGTAGGAGAAAATCGTGAGCGCCTGTCGAAAAATCGATCACAGAACGTGCTTGCGTCACGAGCGACGATTATATTTTTCAAGTCGGCAAATATTCGCTTGGGAATTTACTGTATACGCTGTATATTTCGCGGTGGTTTAATTTTCGCGAATTTGGCAAACGAAAATATAAACACGCAAATAATTCGTACTGAATAATACCGAATAATTCATAATTCACCGACCGCGAAATTAAGTCTGAATTCGCGAAAATATCTGTATGCGAAAAAAATGGCGTATACAGTATTCGCTTGAAGATTTAAATCATCGCCTATGTACAGCGATTTGCTCATAGAACGTTCTATTGTTTTCCTTTTTGCAGCCGATTTCGGTTTTGCGAGGTTCCTACAGGATGGAGTGATGGCAGCAACGCTCTGTGGATCGCCGATGTACATGGTACGTGTGCGTGCGATGCGAGTCGACAACTCGGTTCATTCGTTAAATGATTACTAATTAAAATTTTGTGATAGGTGCGACGAGGCGCCTTGTTCGAGTTAGTGTTGGTTGCCTAGCAGTATGAAAACTGTTGATTATCATTGAGTCGTTAGCAGTTACAGTCATCGTCATCTCGTTACAATCACAATCATCGAAATAATGATGATGGCATCATCATCAACGACATTATTCTCATCCTCAGCATTGTCGTTGTCATCTTTAATGTCATCGTTATCATGATCAACATCGTCATTTTCGTTAACATCAGCGTCAGTGTTAGAATTGTCATTGCCGTCATCGTCGTCGTCGTCATCATCACCACCATCATCATTATTGTTATCATCATTGTCATCATCATCGTCGTCGTCATCGTCATTTTTGTCATCTTCGCCGCCATCATCTTCATTGTTATCATCGTTACGATCATCGTCATCAACATTGTCATTGTTGTGACCGTCGCTACCACCGTCGGCTGTGCGCCGTCCCGCTCTCTCACTCTCACGCGTCGCTGGCTTCTTACAGGCTCCAGAGGTGATCATGTCCCTGCAGTACGGAGCGAAGGCGGATCTGTGGTCGATCGGCACCATCGTGTTCCAGTGTCTGACGGGCAAGGCTCCCTTCCAAGCCCAGACACCGCAGGCCCTGAAGCAGTTCTATGAGAAAAACAACAACCTCGTGCCAAAGTAGGTATCCGCCGCCACCGACGCTGCCTTATATATATATATATATATATATGTGTGTATATATATGCTTCTGCATCTTGTAAGCTCTACAAGTGTGAATTGTGGTGTAAGTGTAAGTGTGTATATGACGTAAGCTCGCCGCGCGCGCGTCGCTACTCCTCGTCACGTCGAGGAAAGTAGAAGGAAGTGGAAGCAACGAGCGAGGACTGCACTACCGACTAAAGTTGGGTTTACACTACCGACTTTACGTTGTCAAATTGGCGTGTTGGACCAACATAGATCGTTCTATTTTCGCCCAACTAGTTGCTATCGACCAGTTGCTCGCGCGACTTTTGCATATATATTGTAGAATGCTTCCACAGCATGTGCAAACTGGCTGCTCGCAGATATTTGTAATTGCAATCGGAAAGATGCTGATGATGAAACCGAGCCGAAATGCTCACGAGCAAGCTGCATTCGGAATCTTTCGCTGCCAGTGCGACCGGAATTAATGTGAGACTTAACATCGTGCAATACCTAACGTTTGACTTAATGTTGTGTGAGACTTAACGTCGTTCAAGACCTAATGATAGACTTAACATCGTGCGAGACTTAACATTTGACTTAATGTCGTGCAAGACCTAACATTTGACTTAACGTTGTGTGAGACTTAACATCATGCGAGACCTAACATCTAACTTAATGTCGTGTGAGACTTAACGGCGTGCATGACCTAATGATTGACTTAACATCATGCGAGACTTCACATTTGACTTGTCAGACTTGACTTGCTGTAGTGATTGACTTAAGGATACTCTCCACGTTGTGCACGGATATTGCTCTAGTGAAGATTAAACGTTTATTGGAGAATGAATCAAATCAATCACTTGTTTTATTTATAGAGGAGATATATCTCTATGCTCAAGCCAAAAAATTTCATGAAATTTCTAGCACCTAATTATGTTACCACACAAATTTTGAATTTTTATGTAAAAATGGTATTTTGGATATTTCTCAACTACCAGAAAGAGTGAGGATACAACAATTTGGCGACATGTA